ATTTTACATGTCTCTCTTTTAATCTTCCTCTCAATCGATCTATTTGGAGACATTTCTACTTCTATCTATGTTTTGATTCATACGGTTTAGTCTTCCTCCTATGTATCCCTCAAACATATTTTTACGAATCTTAATTTGATTGTTGTTATTTGACCAATAAATTTCATATTGTCTTCTCCAAAAAAATGTTGCTTTCCGATCTGTATTATAAACCAGCCGTAAAGTGATGTAACTCAGCCGTAACGTGATGTAACTCAGCCGTAACATATAATTTACACAACCTTTCGTCTTCCGTGAATGATAACTCAGCCGTGACATGTAATTTACCGAACCTTTCGTCTTCCCTGAAGCATATAACTCACCCGTAACATATAATTTACACCCATCTATCGTCTTCCCTGGAGAATATAACTCAGCCGTGACATGTAAATTTACCAAACCTTTCGTCTTCCCTTAAACATATAACTCAGCCGTAATGTAATTTTACCGAACCTTTCGTCTTCCCTGGAACATATAACTCAGCTGTGACATGTAAATTGACCGAACTTTTCGTCTTTCCTTAAGCATATAACTCAGCCGTAATGTAATTTTACCGAACCTTTCGTCTTCTCTGGAACATATAACTCAGCCGTGACATGTAAATTGACCGAACCTTTCGTCTTCCCTTAAGCATATAACTCAGCCGTGACATGTAAATTTGCAGCGAAACAATAAGAGACGCAACATTTCCTCTAACTTTATCATCGAGCACCAACTTCACAAGTTTTTCGTGCGTTGTTTTCGCATCTATCTGCACAACTCTACACCTTCTTTCATCGGTGTTAAATACGTATTTGTGTTTTATACCCAATTACTGGAACCGGATCAACCATATCGGGAGAAGGATGAAAGAAATTGAAGAAGAATGAGGAAGACGATGAGGAATTGGAAGTTCCGGTGATGTGATAAACTCAGGTGAAGAAGACGAGTTGAAAAAATTTGGCCCTATTTTTTTGTCCTTTGATGATGATGACATGGAATGATGACATGGAATGTTGCATCCACGTCATTTTTTAATTGATGAAGTGGCAAGTAAGCCACCAAACGAAAATGTAAATCATCTTAATTAAACCAGCCATCAAACAAAACTTTAACTCAGCCGCAACATGAATACTATTACAGTAATTAAAAAACGAAAAAACGGCAGCCAAATTCAGCCGTTTACTGTCGTAACTCAACCAAAAATATTTAACTCAGTCGTGTCGTTTAATAAGTCGGCCGTCATTGCATGCTATTCTAATAATTAATCTTTCGCTACTAAGTCAGCCATAATAAGGCCGAGTTTTCCGTTAATCAAGCTCATTACGGCTGATTTATGATACTCGAACATAAATCAGCCGTAACGTCATCCCATAACTAAGCCGTCTTTGATAACTCAGCCAGCCGGAGAAAGTTAAGTCAGCCGTGTCGAAGCAATAACTCAGCCAAAAATTTGACAAATCAACCATCGGGTGAAAACTCAGCCGTAACTTAGGCTGGGTTATGCTCGAAAGTCAGCCATTTTATCATAACTCAGACAGATTTCAGTAAGTCAGCCGTAACTCCAGGCTGGGTTATACTCGTAAGTCAGCCGTTTGCTCATAACTCAGCCATTTTTCTTAAATCAGCCGCAACATACCGTAACTCAGCCGTCACTGCCGCTATATCGCTCGACGGCTGAGTTCATTAATACACGTCAGCGATTTCTGACGTGGCGACGCGGCTTTGCTGACGTGGCAGTGGTATTCTTTGTAATTACGTTTTTTCCTGTAACGTTTAACAGGGGCACGCTGGGTATAAAAAATATACCCGAAATATGATAGTAATAAAAAAAAGATCTGTATGTTTCTGGTAATTTCATATAAAATGTATAACATCTGAGTAAATCTCCCAAATAATTATGGTAAGAGTTGAAAGAGATGTTGTTTATGAGTTGTTACATTACATATATATTTAGTTTGAACTTATATTTACATGAATTAAACTACTCTTACATATTTTAAGTTTTAATAATTATTAAAATAAACAGAATTATGAATTGATAACACATATCCATTTTATCATATACAATGTTGTTTATGAAAATTGTCTTGTTTTCCTTTAAGGTCGTAGCAAGAGGGTATGGCTCAAGGAGAAACCAGTACCGAGATTGTACCACTTGCGACGAAGAAATCAAAAGCATCTGAGTCACAATGTGATGCTTCTCCTCAACGTGTAAACCTCTCAAAAGAGGCAGCCATGGAAGAACCCATGGATGCTACTACTGCCGCTAATGGTGATAATGAAGAAGTAGAGGACAAGAATGCAGAGGGAGAGGAGAAAACTGAAGAAAATCCAAGGGAGACAGAAACCATGGCTACTGAAGAAGAGCCTGAGCAGATAAAAGCAACAGATAGAGATCAAGAACATCATGGGGAGAAACTGGATGTTGATGAGAGACGGTCGAACTATCATGAAGCTCATGATGAGAAAGAGAGCATTAATGTAGCACGATGCGTTTTGACGTCTGATTCGAGTGCTCGGAAATTCTCACCAGCGACCACACAATGTGTGAGATTTTTTTGCTATTACCACCTGAAACAATCTTCAAGTTGATTCTGGTATCCAAGAGATGGCTTCAGATTATATCCAATCAGTGTTCTAAAATACGCCCTAGGCGGCCGTATATACGGTAGCAATACGCTATACGGCAGACTACTGTACTGTTTTCAAGTTATGCGTTTAACAAATACGGTTGTGTTCAATACGGCCACTTATACGGTGCTGTCGGCTCAATACAGCGTTATACGGCTCAATACGGCCATTATACGGCGTTATACGGCCACTTATTTTATTTTTTTGAGAGTTGGAGTTTAACGTGAGACTCTTTTCATTTTTCTTGACAATTATTTTTTTATGATATTATATATATTCCATTTACAATATATATATATATATATATATATATATATATTTATAAAAATATATTCATCGTATATACTCCGCATATACAGTTAGGCGCTATACGGTGATCCACCGTCCGACTACCGTCTTGCGTATTTTAGAACATTGTATCAAATCCTTTATTCCGCAAATCTTACATAAGGAAATGGAAACCAAGCTTTCATCTCATTGGTTTTTTTTACTTTAGTATAAAGCTGCAAATCTTCTAGTCAGTCCTCTAAAACTTCGTGTCCTTTACTCTAAACTAGCAGTCTTAGTATCAATATTGAACTTCTTCTGGAGAAATTTGAATACTACTACATTGATGCTTCGAAAGGTTTTGTACTCATTGGCCGTCATCCAACAGCCTACTCCGTGTGGGATCCGAAAACAAATAACCAGTATCGACTTCCGCGTGTTCCATTCAGTTTCAAAGAGTTTACAATCGCTTTGATCATTGAGGATTCTCCTGTTAATGGTTATAGTCTTGCATAGCTATAGTGGTATATCCCAATTGATTAAAAGTATTAAAACTCTGTATTCGATCCCATTGTTTCACACTCCGCATCACGATACGTTGTTGAATCTTCTAGCCAATACTTTGGATATATATGGTCGAATCAGTTGGAACATAAATAACATTGGTTTATAAATTAAATATTTAAGGTTTTTTTATTAGTACACTTTATTTCATATGAAAGTATGACATCAATTGGTTTAATGGGTATATATTGGTTTAATGTAGGAGATATGAAAGTGTGTACCAATAAAGTACTTCGGTCATAGTTTAATGGTTAAGTTGGTTAAATGGTTCTTTATTACAAAAAGTTAGTTAAATGGATAATGTCCTAAGGAGTCATAGCTAACAATCAGATATTTTTGGTATTGTCGTTAACAAATATGGATTGAAGAATGTTGTTTTCGTATGAGATAATCTTGTAGAAATTTTGCACAAAAAAAACATTGTAGAAAATTTCTGGATAAGTGTTAATTGTTAATCAAATAGCATGCTCCATGGATGTTATTTTTCAAAACAGAAAAACTATGTGGAATTTTGCCGAACATATGCAAGAAAGATGAAGTAAATTATTTTAATCTTTTCGTTCGAATTGATATAACGAAGAGCCTTTGTCTTCGGTCTTATATTATGAGTGAGCATTTGTCTTAAGTCTGTCTTATAATATGAGTCCCATGATTTTGGATAATAGGAACTGTATAATATATAAAAGTGATGTGTTTTCTGTGAAAAGTTGAAAAATAAAGGGCTCTACGCGTAAAATTAGTTACTAAAATGGGGATGGTCAATCTAAAAGAAGGGATGCATATACATACAAGTTTTTGTCAATTCAAATACAGAAAATTATATTAGTAGGATTTACTCTGGACCGGTCAGGAGCATAAACACAAGAAGCTATTTCTTAGGATCTCATATTATTAATCACTATTTTTTAGGAGTACATTTCAAAAAAAGATATTTACATTAACCAAAAAGCTTGATATTTTAGTTGTGTGAAGGACATCCAAGAAAATTTCGAAAGATTGGACAGGCACTTTCATTTACGCAACAGATGAACGAAATGTGCTTGATAGTTTTTCTGCCCATATTAATTAATTAATGGGCCGACCAAACTTTCCAACCAGAGTTCTCCGATCCTTTGGTCGGCCCGTGTGCATGCATGATGCATGGTTGTTAATGGCCAAGATGTCTTTTAATCGTGCATCACACTATTACAGTTAGGCGTGGGCATTCGGATTTCGGATCGGATTCGGTTCGGATTTATTATCCGTTCGAATTTTATGACTATTCGGATAGTGTCGGATTCGGATCGGTTTCGGATTGGTTTTTGAGAAAAAAAAAACTAAAAAAAATGTTCAATTTAAATAAAAAAAAGAGTTTAATCTTACTAAAATTTGGCTAAGTTTTCCAAAAATATGTATAGTTTTACTTTTAACAAATATAACTAAAAACTTTCCGATATCTAGGTTATTTAGGATATTTTTGTTATTTGTTATAAAATTATAGCTAAATATAACTAATATTTTTTTATATATAATTTTATTTTCGGTTTTCGGATATCCTTTCGGTTTTCGGTTCGGATAATTCGGATAGGAGAATTCATTATCCATTCGGGTTTTGTGACTATTCGGTTCGGATTCGGAGCCGGATTTTTCGGATCGGTTTTCGGATTTCGGGTTTTATGCCTAGGCCTAATTACAGTCCCAAACATGACTAACCAATTAGTCACCTTTCTAGAAAATATTTTCTATTTTTTATCAAAATTTTGAATACCCCAACATGTTCTTATATAACCCCATTTGATGAAATCGTGTTCCTCATCCCACTTACAAACACAAAGAAAACAAAAAAAAAACGAATTAGCTAAACGGCAAAACACAAACCACACGCTTTGCAATGGCGATCACACGCAACTCCTTTGCGATTTGCCTACTCCTCTCGTTGGCCACCATTGCCACTGCTGATTATTACGCTCCCTCATCTCCTCCGTCTTACACTTCACCGGTTAATAAACCCACGCTTCCACCTCCGGTTTACATTCCACCGGTTCAAAAACCTACCCTTCCATCTCCGGTTTACACTCCACCTGCCCACAGGCCTACACTCTCACCTCCGGTTTATACTAAACCAACTCTACCTCCTCCGGCTTACACTCCACCGGTTTATACTAAGCCAACTCTACCAGCTCCTGTCTACACTCCACCTGTTTACAAGCCTACACTTTCACCTCCTGTTTACACTAAGCCAACTCTCTCACCTCCGGTTTACAAGCCAACTCTCTCACCTCCGGTTTACACTAAGCCAACTCTCTCCCCTCCGGTTTACAAGCCTACACTCTCACCTCCGGTTTACACTAAGCCAACTCTCCATCCTCCGGTCTACAAAAAGTCTCCAAGCTTTTCTCCTCCACCTCCATATGTACCAAAACCAACCTACACTCCACCCACCAAACCATACGTCCCTGAGATCATTAAAGCCGTTGATGGCATCATCTTATGCAAAAACGGCTACGAAACCTAATATAGACTTCATGATTAAAAATCTTTTATAACAACATCTTAAAAAAGAAAAAGAAAAAAAAAAGATTTGAACCTAGGGCATAATGGAAATTACAAAACGGCTACGAAAGCTACCCATTTCAAGGTATATAAATACATACTAATATAGACTTCATGATTAAAAATCTTTTATAACATCATTTTTGGTTTTATAACCTTGAAACGGGGACTACGCGGTTAATAATACTACGACATAAATCATCCCTCTTTAAAAGATTTGTACCTAGGGCATAATGGAAATTACAAATTTCTAATTAGAAAATTTGGTTGATTAATTTCATGCAGGAGCAAAAGCAAAGATTGTGTGCTCCGAGATGATATCATACGGAAAGAACAAGAACGAGGTTGTGATCTACAGCAACCCAACTGACTCTAAGGGATATTTCCACGTGGCGTTAACCCATATCAAGAACCTATCTCACTGCCGTGTCAAACTCTACACATCTCCGGTCGAAACTTGCAAGAACCCGACCAATGTCAACAAGGGTCTCACCGGAGTTCTCTTATCGATGTACTCGGCCGACAAGAACTTGAAACTCTTTAACGTCGGTCCTTTCTACTTCACCGGTTCCAAGGCTGCTCCCGCCACTCCCAAATACTAATCATCATCACATTATTATGATGATTATCTTGCATAGCAATGTATATGTGATCGCTTTAATCAATATATTGTTTGAAATTCTATTTCCCTCGAATTGAAAATGTTCTTGTTTTTTTGTTCCGATTTCATTTGATTCGTTGCATTACCAATGCGTTCTATCTTTTTATTTATATATTAAAATTGTAAGAGGAACAATAATGTTTGATTGGTGCGACTGATTATTTATGAAACATAAGAGCATGCACATAGTTGATACTCATAGAGTATCATAAACAATTTTTTAGTATTAGTTTTAATGTTTGTTTATTGTTTGAGATTTTTATGATACTGATAATAAATCTGTTTCCAGTGGTGAGACTGGTATCAGTATCATTAATTAAAAAAAAACTTATTTGCAAAATCGAAAATAAAAATATATAAAAACATAAGATTACAAAAGATAATATTACAATCCATAAAAACGTAGAATATACTTAAGCAAAACATATCTTGTGGTCGAAGCAGGTAATTGCAGAAACTCATTGAACTTGTAATTATTTTGTCAATCTTATATATAAATAGTAAAAGATTGAAAAGCCCTGCTGGGGTCGGATCCCACACATCTTCGGTAGGATCCACTTGGATCTGTCCACGTCATTATTACATAATAATCCTCTTGGATTTCTAGATGTTTCATTGCGAGAATCGAGCTCGACCTGTCGGAAGTTCGATTCAGTTTATTAAAGAGCTCGATCTTTACCAGTACGGAGTTCGCTCTTATTCAATATATAGTTCGCATAAAAGAAGGCCGAAGCGAGGAGAATATTGCTCGAGGTTCGCGGCAGCGTCAAGACGCAGGAGTTCGGAGTCAACAAGAAAGGGTTCGGAAGATCCACGCGAAGCCCAAGATAGTTCAAATTCAAGCCGTTTCGGTCAAATTGTAACCTACATGATTAATGCGGATCAATGCAATTATGAGCAGTAAATGACCGCATTGATCATGTTTTCTCTATAAAAACAACCTCAAACGCGTGTGTTTGGGAGAGAGAACAACTTTTTTGCTCTTACGATCAAGCAATTCAACATACTTTTTCTTTTACAATTTTGCAAGGCTTTTTACTATTTTATTCTTTCCAAGATCTTTCGCTTTACTTAGTTTCTTGGTTACTTCCCTTTTCAATTCCATATTTTCATTTGTTGATTTCAGAGTTTTTCTCCACAAATATACTTAAAGACAATCGAGTGTGAATCCTACATCCACATTTTGGCGCCGTCTGTGGGGAATTACCGCAAAACTCTTTGATCTCAAAATCTCTTTTTTTTTCAAACCAAGAAACTATGGCTGATCAGCAAGCTTTGAGCAATGCAATTGCCTCGCTTACTCAGTCAACCACCGATCTGACCAATCAGATGAGTACACTCGCTAGTGCCAACGCCACTTTTGGTGAAAGGTTAAACTCAATCGGGCAAACTTTAACGAGTGTTCAAAATACTCAAACAAATTTATCAAATGCGCAGAACGTTGTTTCAAGCCGTTTAGATAATTTGTCCTCAGCACAAACGACAGCGTATCAGCGCAGGCTGTTCCAAACTCCCACACTAAACAGATCCGGGAGCGCTCAAACTCCTCCTACGGGCCGTCCTGCTAGTACTAGCAATCAGACAACCATAGGAGATGGATCCAATCCAACCGGGGATGAAAATTCCCAAAATCAGGGCAATCCTGCTATTGACGAAGGACTCCTTATGGAAGAACCTGATGTCATCCTTTCCGATGATTTCGTCAAAGTTCGTCAAGAGCTTGATGAGATGAAGTCGAAGTTTCATCAGGCGACCAATTCGGCACCTGAGATCGATCGAGTAATCGAAGAAACTCGACGAACACCCTTCACTTCGAGAATCTTGAACCTTCGGATCAAAGATTCTCGAAAGGTCAAATTACCAACTTACGATGGTAAAGGTGATCCTAAATATCACCTCGCTGCTTTTCAGATCGCTGCTGGCAGAATTGATCGAGAACCAGACGAGGAAGATGCCGGATATTGCAAACTATTCTCTGAGAATCTATCCGGATCGGCTTTATTATGGTTCACTCAGTTGGAGCCTGAATTTATTGATAGTTTTAAGGAATTGTCCTCCGCATTCCTAAAACAGTATTCCATGTTTATGGAAAAGGCAACCTCTGATGCAGATCTATGGAATTTAACCCAAGGTCAGAACGAACCACTTCGCAAGTATATCGCTAAATTCAAAGAAGTGATAGCCAAAATTCCTGGGGTATCACACGCTGCTGCCCTTTCTGCTTTAAGGAACGGACTTTGGCATGAATCCCGATTTTGGAAAGAAATCATCGTCAATCGTCCGAGCACTATCCAAGATGCTTTATTCAGAGCTACTAATTGGATGGAGGCAGAAGAAGAAAAGCTTAGCCTCGCTAAAAAGCATCGGCCAGCAAAATTGGTTGTTGGAAATCCGACTAAAAAATTTGAACCAAAAGATCAAAAACGGTTCGGAGTTAATCCTGCTACTAATGCCGTAGGAAAACCCTCCCCAAACAAAGGAAGATACAATTCTTCTAATACCTGGGTTAGAGATGAGAGTGCCTATTACGATATTCATAGAGTAAATGGGCATTCCACCAAAGATTGCAGCATACTCAAAAAGCACCTCACCGAACTGTGGGCAGCTGGAGAGCTCGCTAACTTCAATATCGAAGAGTTTGTGGAATCTTATCATAAAGAAAAAGAAGATTCCAAAGCGTCCAATCCTCCTGTAAAGAAACACAAGCCCAATGGGGCCGGAACTCCGAACACTCCTAAGAAAAGGATCGATGTTATAATGGGAGGATCCAAATTGTGCCGAGATTCGATCAGATCAATCAAAAGACACAAGAAATCAGCAGCAATTCAAACCGTTGTGGGTTTCCAGTCAAATGAACAAACACCTTCTATCTCTTTCGACAATTCGGACACTCAAGGATTAACAGGACTTCATGACGATTCTCTTGTGATAACTTTAGATGTTGCGAACTTCGAAGTAACTAGGTGTCTAATTGATACTGGAAGCTCGGTAGATCTCATATTTCTAAGCACTTTGCAAAGAATGGGAATCAGTAAGGCTGACATTATCGGTCCACCGGCACCATTAGTAGCTTTCACGAGTGACACATCTATGGCCTTGGGGAACATAAAACTACCAGTACTCGCCGCAGTGGTTCCTAAAATTGTAGAATTTATTGTTTTCGACCGTCCGACCGCTTACAACATAATTCTCGAAACTCCGTGGATTTATCAAATGAGGGCTATACCTTCAACTTATCACCAGTGTGTGAAATTTCCAACTCCTGCAGGAATTGGAACCATTCGTGGAGATCAAGAAACGTCGCGATCTTGCTACCTCATGGGACATCGTTTAAAGCTTAAATAGCAATTAATGATAAACGCGAAGCAAGAAATCACTTCGCGTTACCCAAGTGGTCTCAGCTCAAGTGAAGTTACCACATAAATTGAAATTGATTCCGAATTTCCAGATCGAAAAGTAAAAATTGGTACTACTTTAGATTCAGAAATCAAAGATCAGTTGGTAACATTTCTAAAAGAAAACAAACATACTTTTGCCTGGTCGGCGAAAGATATGCCTGGAATCGACAAAAGTATCATTACCCATGATTTAAACGTCGATCCCAGTTTTAAACCAATAAAGCAAAAAAGAAGAAAACTTGGTTCAGACAGAGCTCAAGCAGTCAATGACGAAGTCGATAAGCTTTTGAAAATTGGTTCCATCAGAGAAGTGAGATATCCGGACTGGTTAGCAAACCCCGTGGTAGTCAAAAAGAAAAACGGAAAATGGAGAGTATGTGTCGATTTCACCGACATTAACAAAGCTTGCCCGAAAGATAGCTTTCCTCTCCCACATATCGATCGGCTCGTTGAGTCAACAGCCAGAAACAAACTCTTAACTTTTATGGATGCATTCTCTGGATATAATCCGATCATGATGAATCCCGAACATGAAGAGAAAACATCCTTCATAACAGATAGAGGAATCTATTGTTACAGAGTTATGCCATTTGGTCTAAAAAATGCCGGTGCAACATACAAACGTTTAGTTAACAAAATGTTTTCAGAACATTTGGGCAAAACGATGGAAGTATATATTGATGATATGCTTGTAAAATCTCTTAAGAAATCCGAGCACATCACACATCTCGAGCAATGTTTCAAAATTCTGAACGAGTTCGGAATGAAATTAAATCCCGTTAAATGTTCATTTGGCGTGCCTTCCGGAGAATTCCTGGGGTACATAGTCACAGAAAGAGGGGTAGAAGCTAATCCTAATCAGATTAACGCTTTCCTTACTATGCCTTCGCCAAGAAACATAAAGGAGGTCCAACGATTGACAGGCAGAATTGCTGCATTAAATCGTTTAATATCGAAGTCTACCGATAGATGTCTCCCCTTTTATCAAATTTTGAAAGGGAACAAAAAATTTCGGTGGGATGATCAATGCGAAGCAGCATTTGGTCAGCTCAAAACTTATCTGACAACACCGCCGGTTCTCTCAAAACCTGAATTAGATGAGAAACTTTATCTCTACATTTCAGTTTTTAACCATTCCGTAAGTGGGGTTATACTTCGAGAGGACCGAGGTGAGCAAAAGTCAATTTTCTACATAAGTAAATCTCTTACTAGTCCAGAAACGAGATATACCATGATGGAGAAATTAGCTTTAGCAGTGGTCGTATCTACTAGAAAACGCAGACCTTATTTCCAATCTCATCCTATAGAAGTACTAACTTCCCATCCGCTTCGCTCAATTCTTCACGGGCCAAGTCAGTCCGGAAGGTTAGCAAAATGGGCAATCGAACTTAGTGAGTACGATATAGAATATAAAAGTCGAACTAGCGCAAAAGCACAAGTTCTGGATGATTTTCTAACCGAACTACCATTAGATGATGGAATCTTTGTTGAAACGGACTCTACGTGGAAGTTACATGTAGATGGATCTTCTTCTAAACAAGGATCCGGAATCGGCATTAGGCTCGAAACTCCGACAAAGGAAATAATCGAGCAGTCGTTTCGGTTAATGTTTCCAGCTTCGAACAATGAAGCAGAATACGAAGCTCTCTTAGAAGGACTT